AAATAAAAATAAATTTCGATGAAATTTGGTATAGATGTCCGGAAGAACACATTTGCCACTTTATTTCTTTTTATTTTATTCCACCGGACAGAGTCGTGAGCTGGTCATAAATAAATCTTTAAGCAAGTACCCTTAGCTACCATTTACATAACAGTAAAGAAAATTAAAATAAATATTGTTACATACCCATGAAGATACTCCTTTTTAAAAAGGCACTAACAGAAATGTCAGAATGCCACAACTTGTATGCAACATTCTATATAAGAATACGATTAATTTGCTGACAGATTGGTGTATTGTATTGTATATTTCAGCATTCTGTCAGTCCCGCAGAAGCCGCGGCGCAATTAAACGATACGCTTTGTCAGAGATTGCCGGCGTTCTCAGTAATTACTGAAGCAATTAGAGATTGTGTCGTCTTAGTTAACGTTAACTGGGATTTGTTGAGTTTATTGTAATTGAATTACTTTTAACTTATATAAAACTAGCTTTCGCCCGCGACTCCGTCCCCTTGTAATTAAAAAAAAAACTAAAAAGTCTATGTGTTCTTCTAGACTGTCCTCAACATCTATACCAAATTTCATCGAAATCCGTTCAGCCGTTTAGGCTAAACTCTAGCAAACATCCATCTATCCATCCATCTAAACATTTGCATTTATAATATTCGTATTAGTATGAAGTATGATTAAGTATCCCGGGTTTACTTTCTACAGTTCGAAACACTCAAATTAACTATCTTTTTATTTCTTTTGATGATCCTAATTGCAGCATCTAGCATGTTCAGAGCACGAAAATTTTCAAGAAAGTTTACGGTATTGGATTAAGTTTGGACTTTCATTATCAAAAATTAATAATAGCTCTTTCGAGTCCAATCGCTCAATTCTTCTTGAAGCGTTTCGTATTTTTTATATTGAAAAAAAAAATTCAACCCTAATTTAAAAAGTATCATTTTAACCAGAAAAATTGAGACAAGCCGATCGAAAATCTACATAAAAGTCTATTCTTAGTTAAAAAATTCAATTTATAAAGTATGGTTTCACGAGAAGTGCTATTATGAAAATTGTATGCGGTGTCGGCAGCGTCAATTTAATTATAACGACGATAATTGAAGCGAGCGTGTCCACTCTCACACTTAATAACGAACAAAACCAAAGAAACCTTTTACATATTTTACTATAATATTATATTTAATAAAAAAAATAAAAAAACATCCAGACGAATTGATTACCTCCTTCTTTTGGGAAGTCGGTCAAAAAAAAACACGAAACGTGTGGATAGAAAGAAAATTGACTAAAAAAGCCTACTTTAAGACAAAAAATATAGACAAAAATGAACATTAACACATGATTTAAAAGCATATTTTTTACTATTCCTTAATTTAACTTGGAAAAGGTCGCAAACAGAGATATAAAGTTACAGAAAGGAAAAAAATATCGAATGGTTAAAAGTAACTGGGAAACCTGTCATAAGTTGATTAATATTAAATCTACACTAAGCAATGTTAAATTTATGTATCAGTTTGCGACCAGAAAAACTAAAATTCAATTATTTTCACATCCTTTTATTAAATGCTCTTCAGATTTTTCTTAAGACAGTTACATTGGAACATTCATTTACCGTCAGGAGTAAGCTAGCTAGCTAGAACTAGAAAGGTTTCTAAAAATGTACCGATATCTATATCTATCTGTTCTGTGACGTAAGATGTCAGCAATTACAGCATATTTTTTAATCCTTTCTTTAATAAAAAGCCCTACACTTACGACACGCTTTAGGCTATATATTGACGCTATTGAACTTAGGTGTAAATAAATTGGAAAAAACCATCATGTGGGAAAGGGACCATAAACTACAAGCTGCCAACATTAAGGAAGCAAGGTTATATTAACGGTTATTTTAACATTTGCGATTGAGAATTTGATATTTGTCAAATTCTCAATTGCAGTTTTTATAATTTCATGCCGCATGGGAACAGCTAGTATAAAATAAACACTTGTACAAGTAACCATGTTCAATTTACACGTTACATCCATTAGGGTTACGAGGTTTGTATTGTTAACATCCTGGAGAGAACCCGGTAGTGAAATTAGTTCTAGATAAACGCTTGTTTCCAATTTTTATACTTATTAGAAACGTGAAATCAAAGATAACTATCATTACTCTAACCTCGTTCTATTGATCTATATACGTCATATAATTCTTAAGTAAATCAGGTTGCCTTTGTCCCTACGGAGGGTCGTCATTATGCTGTTCTTCCATACATTTCTATCAGCCGTCACATCCTGGCAACGCATCCGCTATTGCAAATGTCTAAAGGCAGTGGTCGCTTTGCCATTTTGTCGGATCCAGATGGCTGGCTTGTTTGCCACCTTATGATACATAAAAAGCCTTCATATTACATTCATTCCCTTCATGCATATCCTCTTTCACACAATCCATTCATTCTTCGGTCTTGTGTCTTTTCTTAAGTTAATATCAAGCACGTATTTTAAATACAACTAGATTTCGCTTACGTTATATAAACACGATAGTATTTGAACCAAACGGTCTTTAAAAACACTTTTGTGATTATTTCACAACACTATAAGGTATTAATGTCTTGGCAATGCTGTGAAAGCCTACTTTTAGGTCATTGAAACAGTTTTATGTCACTTGGGAATATTCTCAGCACGTTAAATGAATGTAGAAATCTTTGCCAAAAATGTACGTAACTACTACAAAATTCATAACATTTCAAAGGAAACCACTTACGTGCAGAAAAGAGACGATGACGAAGCGAGTCATCAAAATATATCCATTTATACAAAGTGTAGTAGTACATAGTACATAATGTGTACATAATTACTCGAAGCCTCTGTTATTCTTAGTGTATAAGTGAACTAGCGACACCGCCCTGTATTCGCACGTCTTCAATGCTGATACTGTGTTTATACATATAAGCCCTCAACTAGAATACTAAAAAACTATTAAAAAATGCATTAAAATTTATTGCGTAGTTTTAAAGATGGCCAACTTTAGTCCCTTTTCCTTTCCACCCGTTTTCTCATAAGATCGCATCCTCCTCCGTCAATCAAAGGTAGGCAACGCATCCGCTATTGCGAATATCTATGGGCAACGGTCGTTTCGCCATTTTAGCGGATCCAGTTGACCGTTGCCGGGTTGCCAACTTATAATAATATAAAAAAAAACTAAACATACTTAGGGACAGACAGCGGGAAGCAACTTTCTTTCGTACTATTGTTAATAATTAACTTTTTTAGCATATATCGTGAGGTTTAAAAAACATAGACCAAGTATACTAACATTTTATGGACTTTAGTATATTATTAAAAGAGGTTAGAATAACCAAAAACCTTGCAAAAATTCCAAATTAGACAATCTCTTTGTAGGCTTATTGAGTTTCAAAGGGGCCTTTTAAAAATAGGTTGATGTAAAAGTGCCTAGAGCTCCGGTTCAGGCAGACTCGGGACAGGCCTTATCAACTTGGTCACTGATGCTGAAACCTCAAAAGTATTTGCTATTATTAAATCCTAATTAGATAAGGTTTTTTGTCGTATAAAATGGTTTGAAAGTTTTATAGCACGATAACTCTAAAAAAATCATTTTTAATGCTGCTCAATTTTTCAACTGGTATTAATAAATATATATTTTAGTAATAAATTAAAGATTGAATGTTTTTTCTGTCTTGTCATTCAGAATTGATGGAGTGACTGCATAGATTTCTCGTGGTAACTTTAACTACTGTAACAAAGGAACAAGGTTAAATATTATAGCAACAATATAATTTATGCAAACAGCGTTGATTTGTTTGAGTTTGTATTCAAAACTAATTTCGAATTCGGCATATTATTATTCGTTAATCTTATTGTTTGTATTAGTTAAATCTATTACAAAATTATGTATCATAATTATTACATGTAAGTATCTACCTATCAATTATTTTGACTAAAATCATTTTTTAGATAATCACAGGTTATCACACATATCAACGATGTTGGTCTTTAATTGAATGCAACGCCATCTATGTGTGCAATGTAACTACTTTGCAACTGAGTATAAATACAGTAAATAAAAATGAAATGTAAAAGTTACTAACGTATAACTTAAATTTTGTTCGTATTAAAACTGTAAAATTAAAATTAGAAAGAATTGCAAAGTTACAAGGAACATTTTCAAGAATAATAAAAATCCAATTGCGAATGAAAATTGCACTACTTGTTCAACTTCCAGTCATGATAATATTAAACGCGATTCATAGATGGCGCCACAAGAATACAAAATAGTTAAATTGTCACGCCCAAATATAACAAATCGCTAAGTGATTGCACGATATTGTGAAATAGAAAGTTATTTTCTAGTGTTCCCTTAGTTTTTCCAATTCATCATGTATGAATAATAACTTTATTTTCGTTTTATTCTTTCTGCAATAATATTGCAACTAGAATATGACATTTTGTTATTTTCAAGTAGTTTTCTATTGTGGCATCAATAACAGCTATCTCGCTCGCCGCTCAGCGTGAATCACATATGTGTGAAAGAGATAAAGAAAAATTTGTTGCGTTTGAAGTAGACCAGACTTTCGTATCAGCTGACAACCAAAGCAAAACAGTCGGTGCGCGACCATCTTGTCAAAACTGGAGTCTGTGACAACAAATAAATATTTTAAAATGTCCTAAATCGTTTGTAATGACTGAACATTATATTCGTATCTAGTAAAGTATTGTTGGTAGTTTGTTCTAGTGTCGTTTTAAACGAGCGTACTATACATTTTACTCAATAATTCGGGTTTGTGTTGCGTCAAATGACGTCATGTATGTGATTATACACGTATCACTGGCGAGTTCGTGAGTATTTTCTTTTATTCCTTTACTAATAATACTAATTTTATGCTTGTTCAGTTGCGTTTTTCGTAATGGGGTTCCTAGTTTCATTCATTATGAGGCAAGAAACCCCGTACGAAGCTCGGCGACTTCCCGTACCGTCGTTGAAGTTGGCAGTTTACGATGCCCTTGAAAATTATGCAGCAAAAAACATAGTCGCTAGGCCGATGTAATGATTAAGGAAGTATCATCACTTTCTATATTTTACATCCATTGATGGCATTCAAGGTTGCCGTCGAAAATTCCATTAATCATTCCGCTTAGCAACCACAAGTGACTTACGTACTTAACTAAAAATGGAACGCTCTCGAGTCATAGAAAGTATTGTGTATAAAACATCCAACAGTGTAGTATATAAATGTGTTTGCATTGAAAATGGCTGTGACATGTACGTAGTGTGTTCGTCTATATTATATTTTTGGTATAGTTCAACACATGCCGACTTTCGTGCGTCGCTATCCACATGCAATCGCTCTCGGCACAGTTGCATAAAAATTAATTACGATACGAACCTTGTTGTTTTTTAATTATCAGTTTCATTGCTGTATATACATAATGTCGACGTAATTGTCCATCTCGCGTTGTGGGCGTTGCAATGAGGATCTCTTTCGTGTGCATTTACATTCTGCCATTAAATGTATTTAAAGTGAAGACACAAAAGCGTCTATATTACCTAGCTAATTATTTCTTTGTTTGTAACTTTAAAACAATATTCCGACACGAAACCAGTTTCTTACCAATGATTATTCTAGTTTTATTTTTTAACATTGCCAACGATATCAACTTTTTATTCGGATTAAATGTCATATTTTTAAACACGTAAAATATAGCTATTTTTTTAACTGTTACTTATTAGTTATGTTATTACGTTACGTTAATAACCATCGTTATTTCTAACTAGTTATAAACGATTTTGAAAGCTTGTTTTTTATCGATTTGTGTATCGAGTTACGTGTCCTTGAGTCTGTACGTACTAGTCTGTGAAAAAGGTGCATAAAGATAACTGTCCGAGCTATTGTTTACTTAAGCTTTATATGAGTAATAAATAAATCTGCGATGATTATAATTATTGATTGTACATTCTTGTCAACAAGTTAGGAAACTAAACGTTCATAATAACGAAAATTGTACAAAAAGTTCCAACGTTATTTTATGTTTTATAAGGAATCTAACAATCCATAGTGTTATAAGTCTGTTACAGATTTCCACTGGATTGAATTATATTCATAGTGGAAACCAGTATTAAATCTACTACATTCGTGGTAGGATTTACCGTAAAGTTACGTGGACATGAAGGAAAACCTAAGCCGATATTTGTCATTACAGTTATATAGCGTAATGTCCTACTATTTTAAATGAGAATGTTTGGATGTTGAAAGAACGGAGTAAGAACAGTCATCATCTCCACGTCCTTATTCTGCTCTAGGGTTTTTCGTCCTCCATTTTGATCTATCTCCCGTCATCTCAGTTAATCCCTTGATCATGTCACCTTACACGCAATCCATCTCTTTCTAAACCTACTTCTACCGGTCTAATCGATATAAACACAAGCTTATTATGAAAAGTTTAACTGATGCATCTAACTAAATATTGTGACGTCACGAATACGTCAGTGTTTGTAATAAGACCCTGGCAGTGAAGTTTACGTCGAGGTGATTCGAGCACGAGGATAATTTGTAGACGACGCAATGACGCGCTCGGAATCGCAGTCTTAGAACAAAATTGCCTTGAAATGTACAAGTTAATACCAATTTGTGTTGTCATTTCTCTTATTCAAAGGGAAATGAAAGAGATGACGACGAGAGATAGAGAGTTATAAGTTACAAGATAGAAAAAAGAATTAGCAATCGGCCTACCAGTGGAAAAGATAAGTGCACACCACAGACGTAATGATAATCGTTTTTGGAAATCGGTTATGAATAAACTAATAATTAAAAATATTGTAAAAAGCATAATAAAACAAAACACTTCAATATACTGTACACTTATTTCAAAGAAATCTGGGAAAATAGATTTCGCGCATAAAAGTCCCCAAACCACAATATAGCTGTGGCTCATAATAACTTACTCGACGGTTTTAATAAACAATAACCTTTAAAAACCTAGTATAAAATGGCATTCTTCGATAAATGTCATAAAAATATTAATTAAATCTATCCACCGGTTTCTATTTGAATAGTTGTTTTTACCCAAGTAATACCTTTATCATTTACTATTGATTTACATAAAAATATGTAAGCGTTAACTTAAATTTGTTTTAATTTTTATCTGCTTAGGAATTTATCTGTTATAACTCTAAGATAGGTGTCTTCTTTTTATAATATAAACGAGCAAGCGGCCACCTGAATCCACCGAAATGGAAAACGACCGCTGCCCATAAACATCCGCAATTGCAGATGCTTTGCCTACCCTTAATTGACGGAGGAGGAGACGCACGTAAAGAGGTCATTTGTCGGAGGAGACCCTCCACCGTCAAATCCACTTTTACTTCCCATCCATTCCTCTTAAGAAAAGGGTGGAAAGGGAATGAAAGTATCGTAATTCTTACTAATATTATAAATGCGAAAGTTTAGATGGATGGATAAAGTTTGTAGCGTAATCTGCTGAACTGATATAAATTAGCACATATTTAGAACACAGCCTACTTACTAAGTTTTTCGCGTGGACAGAATCGCGGGCGCTAGCTAGTCAGAAATAATTTTATAAAAACATGGACCCCAAACTCTTAGAGTAAGAACAGTCAATAACATTACATTTTTTACCAATAAGTTTTTTTGTAACTTGAAACTTTATCCAAGTTAATATTGAAGAAAACTTTTACACTGATATTGGTTTGGCTTCAGTTTTCATAACTTCATTCGTAAATGTTGCTGCGCCAAATCTTATTGACCGATCGCTAAAGGAAATTGGAAAACCTACAACCAATACGGTATACAAAAATCAATATAATCTTTTTAAATAGAATTACCTAATATACTAAATTGCCAGTATGTATGAAAAAAAAATATAAATGCGAATGTTTGTTATAACTTAACTCGAAAACCATTGAATAAATCTGGATGATCCTTGGAGCACAGACAGAATACAGTATCGAGTGCGTGAGTCGAGTCAGTTTTTTTTTTCAATTCTATACGACCAATAGCGGGAAAAGGCTAGTTATACATTATGCCTGGTTTTTATTAAAGTGAACACAGTAAAGTGTAGACACATAGAAATACAACTGGCATAATGTAAATGGCGTCAGTGAACACATATTTTGTCCAGTCCAGCTACTGTTCTGTACTAGCCAGTTGTAACCTAGCAATACATGATAATTTCAGGTTAGTAACTAAATTGTAACTGCATATATAATGTCGCAATTAAAATTCTATCATTACTATTCATTATTGAGTACATTAGGTAATCGATGTTACATTAGTCATAGCGGCGTTTGATACCATCACGTACTTTAGTAGACAAGCTAGTTAGGGTTGCCATACTTCAACGCATTTTCAGGGCTACCTTAAGTTTACATGGCACTTGTCGATGTTACCATAGTAAAAAAAGCGATTGTTTTAATAATTATTAATTAAACTAATCTGTGAATTATATTTTACATATCTAATGACTGTTTTAACACAAATAGATTTTTCACTTAGTCCAAATGCAATTTTTAACGATTTATTTTCCCACGTATGTAGTTGTTGACAATAACCATGACACACGATAACCCTGCCATCCCTTTAGTGCTAAAAATAACCTTTTCGCGGTAAACAGTACGTTTGTAAACAAAATACGGGCGTGAGCGGAGCGAAATTAGCATGAAAGATATATGTCACAATATAGGTAAAGACCAGAATGGTCGATAGCCCTTGCGGTCACCGGAGACCCAAAAAATATTGGGACCGCTATTTAATTAATGATTTTCAAGTGAAGGTAGACAAAATAAGTTTGAGAATGTCTGATATACATAGATCAGAGGTGTATAAGTGAAATTAAATTACATTACCTGACTAGCGCCCCAGCCCACCTCAAAAAAATGACGCAAGACCGACGTGAACTGTAGGACCATAGTATGAATAATTACCGGGGTTCTCCATATGTTTGGACAAAAGAACCCATTGTGCTTAGCATAAGCTTTAAGGTAGGGAAAGGTTTGGGCGCCCAGGGCACTGGATTAAAAGTGGGGCGAGGTATGAAAAAAGAGAATGCCGATAAAATCACGCCCAGGGCGTCGGTAGCGTTAAGTCCGGCACTGGTGTTACAAACTGTCTTACAGAGCCAGATCAGTTTGTAGCACTATATGATATTTTATTCCTACATGCTATGTCCATAAATGATAAGATTGTTTACTCATAAGTTTAGTCAGCGGTGTAGCGCTAATTATAGCGCGGGACGTCGTCGCCATTTAAAAAAAACAAGCAAAAGCACTAGGCGTTGTGGATCCATGTTAGATACGGCTTAACTGTTCATATTAGAAATAGATAATGAATGTCTATATGTACAGAGTGTTAATGCTTTCGTTTCTATCATGAACATGTTAAATATGTGAATGATCAAGCAATTTTTGCTACACTCACACAACTGTCTAAAAAAGATATTCAAAGATTATGAAATGACATGACAAATGTCTACTCTTTGTTAATTTCCAATGTACAAAAATGTTGCCTCACTTTAGACCTTTCTTAACTTCAATTTTTACAAAATAGAGACCTCACCAATTTTTTCTGAACCTTCCAACCATCCTTATGAACTGGATAGTTTTTATTTTTTTAAATGGTGACAAAAGACATACAATATTTGACAGATAAAAACGGAATTGTGAAAATTGATCAACCAAGAGAAGAGTTACCAAGTAAAAAAAATAAAATAATAAAACTCATACGAATTAAGAACCTTTTGAAGATACTTAAAAATTTGAAATTCCAATATGTAGTCTGTTGGGGGAAAGCTTGGGCTAAATCGAAACTCGCAAATAATTAAGAAATGTATTTATGTTTCCTTTGACGAAAATGTCACTCGTCGCCAATATTCCAATGATTTTTCTTGACAAGAGAATGTCGTTTCTTAAAACTAATGACGAAATGAAAATACAAGATATGAAGCTTATTGTGTGTTTTATATTTTATGTATCTGGGTTTTCATTGTCGAAATACTTGTGTAAACATAATATCAAATCTCACAGTCATAAGAAAAACAGGGACGATATGACACGCTTAATACCTTTGAAGTCCTGTCCAGCTTCTTCAAATATCTCCAGCCCGAATTAACGAGGCCTTAAATGAAATTTTTGATAAATGCATACGTGGAATGTGACGTTTTTTCTCGATTTTACATACAGACGCTGAAATGCTGTTAATTAAAGCCATACACACCATTTGAAACAAGCCATCAACTATCTCTTTTTAC